GTTTAGGGTTTGGGGCCTAGGGTTCTAAACCCTAAAGCCATATCCTCAAGGTGGAAGTCGGAGTAGATGTCATCGTACTCGCTAAACATTTCCAGCGTTCGACTGTTCTGCTCTGGGTCCAAGTACATCTCCAACATATCCTGGGCTGCACTTCACTCTTTAGGGCTTAGGGTTTGTACCCCATGGAATCCCGAAACCCTAAACCCTTAAGCCTTAACCCTAAACCCTAAATTGCATCAAATTGCCTCCTAGTATCTTTCAAATCTTCCAGTGCCTCGGGGTCCAGCTCCTGCCACACTGGGATTGGAGATGCGAGGCCCTAAACCCCAAACTCTAAATTAGGGTCTAGGGTTTAGGAAAAAATCCCTCAGCCCTAAGCCTTTAACCCCTCAACCCTAAATCCAAAAATCCCTAAACCCTAATCCCTAAACCAAATCTTCGGTGTTCAACAGAACGCTTAGAAGAGTACCTAGAAGCACCTGCTTGCTTCCGCCTCTGCCTAAATCATCAGGTAGCTTTCTGGAATAGACTTTCTAATTCTGATCTTGTATTCCTTGTTGGGCTGTTACACGAAAAATAATAGAAAGCATGTTCGACAATGACCCATTTTCCAACATGAGCGTTGCCCCCACTTAGGCTTGTGCTAGGGGTAGTGACCCCGCTACTGGTATTGATATCTTCCCTGTGTTGACAGAACCGAGAATTTTCCTGGATGCCATAGCTAGGTTGTGTTCTGCGTTGATCTTAACCCTAAACCCTAAACCAGGGTCATCTCTCTCCTGACGCTTTTATCGGGCTAGCTCGTATCATCGAGGTTGTCATTACCATCGGTACAGTCCTGTCTGTTTTCTCTACTCCGCCTGCATCTTCCTCTACCTGTTTTACTGAACCCTGAACCCTCATAAAACCTAAACCCTAAGCCCTAAACCCTAAACCCTGAGCCCTAAACCCTCTCGCTCCTGGTTGTCAAGCTTGCGAAGCAGCTGCTCCAGCTTTGTAACATGCCATCGGTGGGACTCCTGCTTCCGCTTCTCCAAAGCCCCGTTGAGGTTTCGGGGTTCCGGTTTAGGGTTTAGGGCGAAACCTATCAGTGGATCTTTGTTGCCTTAATCCCCACAAGAAGGACCCTCTGACCAACAATAGAGCTATAGTCTAAACGCCTAGTGTCGCCCTTATAGGCCAGAATACTCCCCTATACTAAGCCCGCCCTTATCGGCCAGAATACTCCTGTATACTAAGCCCTAATACTCCCTATACAATCCCCTATATAGCCCCCCTTCAAGGAATTTAGTCTATGGCGCTTATGGCCCTTGTTAAAACAGTTTGGTAACGAAAAAAAATCCTAAGCCCTAAGCTATCATCCCTTCCTTTCACCCTAAGCCGTAACTAAACCTCAAGCCCTTAACCCCAATTGTGTTAGGGTCTAGGGTTCAGAGTTAAGCCCTGAACCCTAATTAAACCTTAAGCGCTAAACCCTGAGTCCGGTTCAACCTGAAGCCCGAAATATCCCTAGATACCCCTCGTCCTGCATCCGCTTGTTGAACTGAAGTTGGGACTCATCTTTGTTGGCGCCTTTGGCCTCTGGGGCGTTTGCTTGCACCAAGTCAATTGTATAGGGTACTATAATATATTGGGGTTATATGGGGAAAATGGAAAAATGGAAACGACTGTTTTTAGGGTTTAGGCTTTATTGGGTTTGGGGTTTGAATTGGGGGGGGTCCATGCATTCAGAATGAAATCAGGGGGGGGATTGACTTTTCATTGAGCTGCCATGGAAAGCGCTGTCATATCTCTGGTACACGCTTTAGGGTTTCGGGCGGGTTCTGGTCTTACTATTTGGATGTCCTAAACCCTAAACCCTAAACCCTAAAACCCAATTCTGGTTGTAAACCTCTCATTGGACCTTAATACAAAAACTGGAAGTTAGGTCCAACACGGCCCGACTTTGCAGCAAAGTCAAAAATTTGAGGGTCCTTCCTTTTTGTGGAGACGGCGCAACCTGTTTGTGGAAGTGCTACTAGCGTGTTTTCTAAGAATTCTGAAACCCATTACCCGAAACCCGAAACCCTAGACCCTAAACCCTTTGTTTTCGAGTCCTGAGGCCTTCTTTACTTGGAGCTGCTCGATGACGGCCGTGAACTCATCAATCTCCTGCGCAAGCTCGTTCACCTGAAACGTGATGGGTTTGGGCTTTAGAATCTAGGGTTCAGGGTTTAGGGTTAGGGTTTAGGGTTTAGGGTTAGGGTTTAGGGTTTACGGTTTAGCGGTTTAGGGTTTAGGGCTTAAGGGAAGGGTCTTGGCAACCATGACGAGCTTTCGGGATAGGTTGCTCAACCTACATGGATTAATGCCCTCCGTATATATTTGGGGATCCCAATATAATATAACCCCTATAATCCCTGTGGTTTCCATTTTCTTTTCCATTATCCCTAGAAAACTCCTATAATGAAGGAAAGAACCTTTGTCCTTCCTGGGATCCAATAATTCCTGTTGAGAATGCTACCCTTCTCTTCACAGATTTCGAAACGGGGGGGTGGTTATATTGGGAGTATGGCAAGTTTTCTGGAAGGTGCTGGGGGTTTACCTTAGAGATCTGTGTTTCACCCTAAACCCCACACCCTAAACCCTAAAGCCTAGGACAGCCGTGCCCACCTTCTCCCTCATCCAACTCCGGCATTCGGCGCGTTTCTCCTGTGCCCAAAGCGAGAGTAGTGCCCGAAGCGAGAGTAGTTTCCAAAGCAAGTTTTCAAGGTGTTGTACCCCGAAATACTCGCTGCTGCTCGAGCAACTCAATTCCAAACCAGGCCCATGACCGCTATGATAACAAAACTTGGGCCTGCATGTAGGCGACATGTTTGAAACATCGAATATGCATTCAAGGCTTCAGCTAAAAGGCTTAAGCATCGGAGATACAAGGAGCAAACTGCGAACCCTAAACATTCCTATCATATTCCTACTATATTCTTGGGGTTCCCTGCTTTGGGCTTCCGATTATAATCCCTTTGGCAGGGAGTTTGCCTCATGAGTTCCGCGGTCCAACGGCAACTGTTGGAACGCAAGGGTTTAGGGTTTGGGGTTTAAGGGTAAAGGGTTTGGTTCCACAAGTGGCTTTTGGCATTCCCAACCCAAAAAAAGATAGAACACTGTCATAGCGTCGTCGAGAACTTGGAACCCGGAAATGGGTATCAGCCGATGCTGGGTAAGGGCCTAAGGTAAGGGCCTAAATCAACAGAATAGGAGGTTTGGAAGGATAGGATGGGGTAGCATGTATTCAGACTTCTACATTGACTTGATTTTCTTCAATGAATCAGACCACAACTCGGAAGCCCCAAACCCTAAACTCCTACACCTGAAGTCAAGAACCCCAAGCCCCAGACATCAGCTTGTGTCAGGTGTACTCAACCCATCCCAACCAAAATCATTGACTCTGTAAGTTATTCCCGAATGAATGGCGTGGTAGTTAAAACCATTATTATATTACACCTCCCAATGAAGCCCTATTCAGCCCCATACAGCCCCAGTTTCCATGTAGTTGTCCATCCTCTTTTCAATGTTATTCTCGGTTATTCATAGAATACCCTGAAACCCCAGCACCCTAAACCCCAAAACCCCAAATAGCAGTTTCCATTGCATTTTGTCCTGGTCGGGATCCAAGCGCTCTTCTTTGTAGGGGCCACGATTCTTCACATCCCGCTCGAATGTCTTGTGGCCTGGATACTTAAGTTTAGGGCTTGGGGTTTAGGGTTTAGTGTAAATCCTAAACTCCTAAACCCTGGGAGTCAATATTAGGAAGTGTTGCGAAGTGTGCTGAGACATACCCACATTGCGAATCACCTGCGCTGCGTGTAATCTTAGGTGTCCAGTATCTGGGTTTAACCCATGGCTTACCTTTTGGGATTTCATTTTCGGGTCTAACCCTGAAACCTAAAACCTACAAAAAAAGTAAGGATACCGGAATTTCCTTCCAAGAGAACCCAGCCCAGAATCCATCTCGTTTACGCGGTTTAGGGTGTAGTGAGGCATTGATGGGCCAGGAAAAATTGTTCGCACATTCCGTAGGCCGAGTCCGAAGTAAGGTCATCCTAGAATCCCAAGAATGGCTACCCATGAACCCTCGCGAAACTAGGTTTGCGGGCCCTCAGAAATTCATGTTCCATGGCTCTAGAGGGATTGTACAGGATAAAGGGCATTAAGAAGTAAAAGACATTTCCACACCTGCCCCTAGAAGATTGAAACTTGAATGACCTGGGACAAAGTTTAGGATTTAGGATTTTCCCAAGGCAACCCAGAAGCATCTTACGCACCCTACGGGAACCTTGCTGCTCAGCAAGACATTTCGAATTGCCATAAGCCCATGTCCCTAACTCCTGGATCATAACTAACCATGGTAAGGGTGACCCCCGTATAGCACAAACCTAAACCCTAAACCCTAGGGGTTTAGGGTTAAGGATGTAGGGTTTGGGGGTTTAGGATTTAGGGCTTAGGATTTGGGGTCAGGGTTTAGGCTAGGGTTCAGGGTTCAGGGTTTAGGGCTGCGATCCCCAACCCTGAAACCCCCAATCGAGCGCCAAGCAACACTCCATGCGATTCTCTATCCTGGTCCTCGCTTCTATCAAAGGGGACTTTTCCTTGATGTTCTTGTCGGATATCCTGGGCTTAACGGATATCTGCGGTTGATGGTGCACCGGAAGCTGCAGAGATACCCGAATAACTTTGGTGGGTTTTGGGGGGAAATAAATGCTAGAACCAAGCACTCTAAACCCGAAACCCTAAAACCAAGTAAGCATAAGACATTATTTTTAGCAGACAATAGAGCTTCCTGGCGGTGCAGGCAGATGGGGGTTTCAAGATCAGAGGTTCCTCTTTCGGGAATTCCATGATCCCAAACCCTAAATCCTCAACCTAAAGCATTTTGGGGTATACGGGGATCCTCCATATGTCTGGCAAACTCCACATGGAAGTTTACATATACAAGGGGGGGACAATATAGGTTTACGGTTTGCGCTTTGGGGTTTAAGGTTTGGGGTTTAGGAACACAGTACTCTTTTGAGAACTCTCCTGACCTGGCCCCTCCTTTCTGTGATCCCTAAACCCAGACCCCAGAGACAGCATTCAACTGCTAAGGAATGTACAGTGAGTTACCCTTATGAGGAATGATCTTCTGCACTAGGTATCCACGTTATTGTAACTCAACTCCAGTACCTATATATATATATATGACCCCTATGTAACCTCTACAACCACTGTAATTGAGCCCTTCATCATACTTTTTCAGTTAAACCTAGGATCCAGGCGGACAGTTGAGTTCGATCTCTCTGAAGCTTCTTGATGGAAGCCTTCATCGTCTCCTGCACCCTAAACCCTAAGCCCTAAACCCTAAAAGGAGGTTTCAGAGCTTTAGGGTTCATTAGAATAACTGAGGGTTTGGGAGGGTGATTTTAGATCTGGAAGGTTTTAAACCTTCGAGATTAAAGAAATGGGCGCCTCCGTACTTGTAATGCTTATTTCATCCTGTTGGCTTAAAGCTTAGGGCTTGATTGTAGGGTTTGGGGCTTAGCGTTTAATGTTTGGGGGTCTCATGTTGAGTCCCGATTAGCGTGGGGGGCCTCAATTGGGCGAAGCTTGGCCAACATTATTCAGGCCCCCTGCGATTCGTTTGGGCGGCCTTAATTGCGCGAAGTTGCGGGGCCAGTAAGGTTTTTGGAGTAGCTTGGTAGGGCAAAACACCCTAAACTCTAAACCATGGGCAGGTTCCAACTCACCTGTCAGCCTCGCGCAGCAAATGGGGGTTTCCCGAAATTTGGGGTCCCATTTTGGGTGTCCCCATAATAAGGAGCACAATATTTGGTGGTCAATGTCCCTTTTTTGAGAGGCTACAAATTAGGGTCCTAGAATGTTATATTAAAATGTTTGCGGATCTTAAGCTTCAGGATTTCAGGTTTCAGGCCAGATCTACATGTACTGATTCCGTGTGAAACCGCTTATTCAAGGAGGCCTGGCAATCATTTTGGCATGAGGATTTTCGGGCCCCTATACTAGAGATTCCAGAGAGCAGAAACCTCTCCTTGAAAGGCTCACTAGGGTTTAGGGGTTTAGGGGTTTAGGGGTTTAGGGGTTTAGGGTTTAGGGTCTAGGGTCTAGGGTTTAGGACCCCCTCCTGTTGAATTTGACTTAAAACATCTATTGGGCTCCCCCACCGCCCTCCTGTTGCATTTAATTGTGGACAGCTACTGAGCTCCGCAACTCCCCTCCTTTTGGATTTAATTTGAAACAAGTACTGGGTGGTAGAATTTCACTTTAAACAGGCTACAGTGCTGCGAACATCGAACACCCTCCTCCTGTTGATTTTCATCTGAAACTACGACCCAAAATTTGCTGTGGGGGTCCCCCGCCCTCTATGAAATGGGGTCCCATTTGTGTCTTGGGGGGGGTCTAGCCTGCTAAGCAGGACTGCACATTAAGGGTTTGCGCTTAAATCTCCACCTAGCCACCCTTGAAGTATCCTTTCCGCACTTCCAGACATGCTGAACTCTACCCAACACCCTACACCTCCATCCTAAAACCCAAAAACCCAAACTGACCTTTGACTCCGAAATCAACAACACCAAACCCTAACCCTAAACCCTAAACCCTAAACCCTAACCCTAAACCCTAAACCCTTGACCCTGAACACCAAACCCTAAACCCTAAACCCTAAAACCTAAACCCTAGTAGCTCCTCATACTTCTCGCGCTGGTTCGGCTGGCTCGCATGCTTGTGGTTGTCCATGAGCTTGTCGAAATCCTCAACACCTAGGTCCACCTTCTTCAGCAACGCCTCCACTGCAAAGTAAATTGTGCAAAACACTGTTGCCCCCAGACACTACAGCCTAAACAGCAAAAACTCAAGCCATTATCCTAAACCCCAAACCCTGAGCACCAAGACCCTAAACCCCCAAAACCCAACACCCTCAAGACCCTAAGCCCCAAACACTAATCCCTAAACCCCAAACCCATGGCCTCCATATCCCCCTGCAGCTTCTTGGCCGCCGCCATCGCTCACTGTACCGCTGCGGGGCGGGCGGGGATGATACATAAGGCTTGTGACCTTGGGACCTCAAATCTCACAAAGTTTAGGATTTAGGATTTAGGGTTTAAGAATTAGGTTAAGGGCTTAGGATTTCAGGTTTAGAGACTTAGGGTTTAAGGTATCTTGGCTTTTCAGATTATGGCTTCCTTCAAGTCTTATTCCAGCAGAGTTGGGATTGAGTGATCGGGATTACTAGAAGGATCCCGTGCCCCAGTCCCAACTCAGCATGCGCATGAAACACTAAATTTTAGGAAATACCTGCCTGACAGTCATAGCCCTAAACCCTAAACCCTAAACCCTAAACCATAGGGTCTGGGGTTTAGGGTCTAGGTGGCTCAGGGCATAGCGATATACGCTCACATGATAGCGACAGCAATCACCTTACGGGTGCTTCAGGGAGCAGGGGAGTATGAAGAAAGCTACTTTTCTAGGGTATCTATGCTCATTCTAGGCATCATTGACCCCATCCGCTACCGCATTTTCTTTGGACAGTCAAGCAGGATTTCCGAATCTAAACGTTGTTCAAATGATCCCTCCCCCAGAGTAAAGGAGCGGGGCTTAGGGTTAGGGCTTAAGAGTAGCTAGACCCGCCATTTGTCATGCTAGCTGGAAAAGTACCCTTCTAGCATACCGGGGCTCCCTAGTTTCGAGAGAGCTCAGCTACAAGTTACGCGTGACTTGCAGCTACTAGGACCCTTTGACGCCCCAACGCCACCTTGCAGTGACACTTCCGATATAGTACCGTAGTTACCCTATCAGAAGATATAGTTCAGCGGGCTCGGGGGTCTTCACATTCAGGGGGTGGGGGACCTAAACCCTAAACCCTGAACCTTAAACTGTGAAGTGGGGGGATGCAGTTGCATTGACCAAGACCTTGCCAGCAGCACCTTACACCCTGCACCCTAAACCCCTAAACCCCCTAAACCCTAAATCCCTAAACCCTAAACCTCTAAACCCTAAACACCTAAGCGCGGACCCAAAGCACACACTCAGTGCTGGGCAGTAGTCACCGAGTACTACGGCGATCAGCACCCAGGGCTCCTGGTTGGGGAACTTTTCCGTCAAAGTCTGATACAAGGAACTGTCATGGGGTTTAGGGTTTAGGGTTTAGGGTTCAGGGTTTCAGGTTGAGGCTTTAGGCTTTTAGCGCCCTTCAAAAATTTCGGCATTCAGGTGGGGAGCTACCTGGTTTGAGCCCTTGCACACAGCTTTCTTTCACAAAGCTCCTGTGGCGAGGCAAGGGGATTTGTAAAAGGAAATGTAAAGGTTATATGGGGGATTAGGATTCAGGGTTAGTTAGGTCCTAGTCTTGTCTACAGCCAGCCCTTGTAACATATAGGCCTGCATAGGGCGAAGGAGCCTTGTCAATAAGGCAGGGTTATAGGAGGTTCGGTATAGAAGCCTGAAAAAATAGGAAAATCATTCCCCTGAAGCCCTTGTAGAGTTCTAGGATACAAGCAAAACACCATTGAAACTTGTTAGTTCCTTAACTTTGACAGAATATAGGGGAAGAGTAATTTCAAGGTACCGAAGGGAAACCCCTTGTGGTAGGGTTTAGGGTTGAGAGTTTGGGGTGGTAGTAACAAGCGCAAATTAAGAAGGGCACAAGAAGCGGAAGTAACATAGGGTCGAGGAAACAAAAGGTAACGTGCCTAAACCCTGAACCCTAAACCCTAAATCGCCTACCCTGCTACCCTCCCTAAAGCAACATGGAACCCCATGTAGCCCCATTTTGGACGGTAGTCTGTCTAGGGCGCCTTTTGTGGGGTTGCATGTTCGTTTGGGGTAGTGTAGTAGTACCATTCCACTAGAGGTATTGTCTTCTGAAAACAGATGCCTGTGCATATAATAGCCAAGTAAGGGTGGCCAGTGTAGCGACGATCAAGCTCGCAGGAGAGAACTGCAGCAAAAGCAGGTTTTTGTTTAAGATCCGCGTTCGAATACCACGCTGTCCATCACAGGTCGGCACGCTAGCTTAGCTAAAGCCTCAACCACATGAGAACTGCCTCAAAATTAGCATCCAGAGAGAGAGAGAGAGAGAGAGAGAGAGAGAGAGGAGAGAGAGAGACACAGAGTGACGGAGAGAGAGAGAGAGAGATATTATATATATATTTATTTATTTATGCCCA